CCGTCCTAGAATAAGGATCTACATTCGACCTCCCACGGTTATTAAAAAATTGAGATTGTGTTATTGCGGTTTATGTAGAGGAGAAAGAAATAATATGAGCCACCCAATTCCTTCCATAAAGGGAAAGTGTAACCTTATATTGGAATAGGCTAAAAAAGAAATCTTGAACCTTTTTCCGGGACATTGGAAGTATATTTTATACATGATGTCAATTACTCATGATAAATAGTCTGCTCAACATAGAATTAATTTTCTTTCTTAAAGGCACTGCTGCTCCACAACTGACTGCCATTCAACCAGAGAGTAATTTGGTGGATCCTTCTGAAGTTAAAAATCTCATTCAGTTGAAGGGATACTTTGAAGGATCTTTCAATAGGTGGGATCATGTCTTTGATGGAGTAGTGCATCATGATCTTGCATTATGTGCTTTCGGTGGGCTTGCCAGTCATTTAGAGCGGCTAATGGTAATCCTTGTGCTAGTGATGATGACATGCAATATTTAAAAAACTGTACATTATTTTGTTAATGATGGGGTCCTTTTTTCTTAACAGTTAGGTGATGCCTTACGTAATGGAGATATCCTTCCATATGAAGTTTATCAAGGTTTCCTTAGAATGGATGGACAAACACTTGTCAATCTTGAAATTTTCAACAATAGTGCTGATGGTGGTCCATCAGGCAAGTGCTTTTACTGTTCAGTCATACCATTGACCCACCCATTTGTCGGTACAAGTACAAATATTCTTAAATGTGCTCAAAAAGCATTCTTATATGACAGGCACTCTTTACAAATATCTTGACAACTGCATAACATCATCTGGTAAGAGGATTTTAAGGAGGTGGGTATGTCATCCACTAAAAGATGTTGATACAATTAACATCAGACTTAATGTGGTTGAGCATCTTATGACATGTTCGGAAACTATGTCATCTGCTGCTCAATATCTTCGCAAGCTTCCTGATATAGAAAGGTTGCTTGGACGTGTCAAAGCCAGTATAAAGTGTCCTGCAGAACTTCTGCTGCCTACAATCGGGAAAAAAAGACTGAAAGAACGAGTATGTGCTTTTTGCCTTTGAGACTTCGTTACAAATAAAATCTACCATGTTCCACATATGTCATATGCTGTAAAATATAAAAATGCATCCTCAACTTCAGGATGCAGGCATGCAGCAACCTCACATTGTGGAGGATCTCTCTCCTCTTTCACATGCACATGAATACAGCTAGAAGTTGGTGTCATTTTAATTTTTCGTGTCTACATTCCAATAGGTGAAAGTGTTTGGCTCACTTGTTAAAGGGATGCGGATTGGAATGGATTTGTTGATGTTATTGTGGAAGGACGAGAACCTGAGCTCTTTATTATCTAAAGTCTTCAGCCTGCCAGTTTTAGTTGGTACTGTTGGCTTGAGTAAATTCCTTGCCCAATTTGAAGCAGCCATTGACAGTGACTTCCCAAAGTACCAGGTCTGTTAAATACGGAGTGTCGGCATAATACTTTTCTGTCACAAAGTATAAGGTCATTTTGCCTGTAGCGAGAGTTTTAATGAAAGGATGCAAAATGTAGTTCATTTTCTAAGATCGCTCCTCAACTGAGGTAAATTGTATCAAGTCATTTTAAAAAGCAAGAGAGAGAAAAGGGGGATCAGGAAACAACTATTAAGTTCAATAGTTCATTATGTTCACAATAGGTGTGGTCATTATTTTGGAATAAAGCTGAATGAAATTATGACTTATAAAGTGAAGCATAGGGAGTATTTCTTTGGAAAAGTTTGTGCCAATAATTCCAGATTTGACCCTTGTTTCGCTGATAAATCCAAGTTTTGTATTTCCTATAATCCTTAGATGGCAACGGTCCTTACTTCATCTGTGGCAAGTTTTGAGGTGAGATTGTGGTGACCTGGAGCATGAGAAAGGAGAGGGAAAATGAGTGAAAGAATAAACACAATCTTATATGTCATGACAGACCAGCACAATCTCTTGTATGAGATATCATTTTTGGTGAAGTATGGAACATTAACATCTACACGAGGCAAACTTAGGATTAATGATGGGAAATACAGAACTTAGAATTATTGGCATAAAATGAGCTAAACTTTGGGGTTTATTGGTATAAATTTACCTACTTCTTTTGGTTGTGGTTTGTTAGAGTATAAAAATCTTTCTTGGGCCACAACCAAAAGCTTGAGCTTTTGGTTGAATCGGTCCTTGACATGGTATTAGTGCCTTGTTAACCAAGAGGTTACGAGTTCGAATCTCGCCGCGGTCCACCTCTCCTGGGCCACAACCACAAGCTTGAGTTTTTGGTTGAGTTGGTTCCTTGACATGGTTATTGTGTCAAGACATTTTTTTGCATGCTGAACCATATTTCCTTCATTGTCCAGTGACGAGCAAAAAATTAGAAATTACGAGTTCAAATACTCTTTTAACCAGATTTAATTATCCCTATATCTAGTGTGCTTTCTGATTAGTTTCAGTGATATCATCTTTCCAATGTGGTACCACCAGGATCATGAGATAGCTGAAACAGATGCTGAGACCCTATCAATCCTAATGGAGTTATTTATTGAGAAGGCTAAAGAGTGGTCACAAGTCATTAATGCCATCGGTTGTGTTGATGTGTTAAGGTCTTTCGCAATTACTGCGACATTATCTAATGGAACTATGTGTAGGCCAATGCTCTTGCCTATTTCCGAGTCGAGACACGAGGGACCTGTGCTGGAAATGAAAGGCTTGTGGCACCCTTATGCCTTAAGTGGTGATACTTGCGGAATGCCTGTCCCTAATGACCTCCAACTAGGAGGAGGGGAGACAGGTCAAAGAAACGGTCATACTTTACTCTTGACTGGGCCAAATATGGGAGGGAAGTCCACCCTTTTACGTGCCACTTGTTTAGCTGTTATAATGGCTCAGGTATTTAACTTTTTTTTTGCTATGGAACTATTTAGGATATGTTATAACTCAGACACTAAGATGCTGTGGGTGTATATTGTTGCAGATGGGTTGCTATGCGGCATGTGAAGCTCTTACTCTCTCTCTTGTGGACACCATCTTCACGCGTCTTGGGGCCACTGACCGAATCATGACGGGCGAAAGTAAGTTCCTTTAATGAGTGAGGCTTAGAAGTTGAACCCGGAATTATTTATCGTGATGAAAAGAAAATACGCTAAGAAAAGAAAAAAAGAAATCTTATAACCCTGTCATATTTCATCATCTGCAGGCACGTTCTTTATTGAGTGTACGGAGACTGCATCGGTCCTGAAAAATGCAACCCAGAACTCACTTGTTATTCTTGATGAATTAGGCCGAGGGACGAGCACTTTTGATGGATATGCTATTGCATATGCTGTAAGATAGATGTGTCAATTATTATTATTGTTGTTATTACTCTCTGATTCACATCATATGACAACAATAATAATGATAATACAAAAAAATATCTTCACAGGTATTTCGTCATCTTGTAGAAACCGTGAACTGCCGCCTTCTGTTTGCCACGCACTATCACGCTTTGACAAAGGAGTTCGCCTCTCATCCTCACGTGATCTTAAACCACATGGCTTGCTCTTTCCAGACAGGGCCCGGAAACCGAGAGGAGCTGGTTTTCCTATACCGCCTAGCGAGTGGGGCCTGCCCCGAGAGCTACGGGATGCAAGTGGCCCTCATGGCAGGCATCCCGAAACATGTGGTCGACTCTGCATCCAGAGCTTCAAGAATGATGAAGAAGAAGATGAGAGAGAGTTTCAGGTCATGCGAGCAGCGGGCCCACTTCTCCACGCTGCACGAAGAGTGGTTGAAATTTGTCATCGCCACCTCCGGGTTGAGCGTGAGGGAGCTCGACGATGATACAATTGATACGTTGTTTTGCACGTGGTACGAGATGAGAAGCGCCGGTGGGTTGGGTTATGCTGGTGTAGAAAAGGAAAGAAAGCCCCAGCCCCAGGTTTACTGCCCCTAAGTAAACTGAAGTAGACTGAACTCTGAAGTAGTGTAGTAAATTTATAAGGTTGGGAAGAACATATGAGCCGCAAAAAACTGTTTGAGCGGGCAAAATATTTTCCTGTGAAAACAAACTATTATGCTCCCTGCAGGTGTGTAATTATCAGTTTGATTCCAACTGAACGTTGTTACAGAGTACTTCATATTTTCAATTAAACTATACATCCTGATGTACGGTATTTTTCGTACATATGCATGAATATTCATTGTCGAGTAGCTAAGTACTCATTTTTGAGTAACAGAGTACTCATTTTCGAGTAGTTGAATGCTTATTTTCGAGCATAATAGAATTTTAGAGAAATGAGTATTCAGTCACTTGAGAATGAGTATTTACTTGCTCGTAAATGAGCATTCAGTTACTCATAAATGAGCACTCGCTGTGGATGTACGGGAAATACTCTGCAACTCGTTGTACGGTTAATATTATGAGATTTTAGTGGTGCTTATGAATTTATTGTTGACGAGTAATTTATAACTTATAAATGCTTATTAAAATATACTTTTTGGAAAATGACTTAATAAGAGGTGAACTATTTTACGATATTGATAAAAAGTTAGGAACCACTTGGTAAATGGTTTGGTCAAAACTGAGAAACAAAAAAATATACTTAAAAATAGCTAAGACATATTTTTTTTGGATTTGTAAGAAACTTATAAGTCAAGTTACAAAAACACAAAGATATACGTTATCAACTAACTATAAATAAAAAATAACTTATAAGTAATTTTGATCAATTCATAAACACTGGAAAACACTTATTCAATGTTTTTAGATGAAAAATGGAAATGTGACCAAATGGCTAAAATAGCAATTGTGTTTGAAAGAATTTAATTTGTTGAATGATCAGCAGCATAAAAAAATCATACAATACTTAGTAATCTGTATAAATTATATTTATAACAAACTAAAGAGAATACATGTAAATGTCATTATATTCATTTTTGTTAGTAAGAAAATTCTTTCATTGCATAAACTTCATCATTTCATCCTCTAAAACCTATCACAAAATTCACTTTTTTCTTGTTAAGATAAATTCAAAACATACAAGTGTACCCCCCGGCTTTAGGCAGTTTTTGGTTGATGATTTTCTAGTAAACAGAAATGTCAAGCTACCAAATGGGAACTATTAAACGGGCATACAAAATTTCAATAAACCGACAAAATGCAAATTATGTTCAAAGCCAATTTGTTCAATATCTACTTAAAATACAAAGGAAAAAAAAGAGTCGAAGAACTGAGGTCCACGGCTCGCTAACTGTCTTCTTCTTCCACCTACAAGCTGCAAAACACAACAAAGAAGACATTTTCTTCGATTAAACGTAAATTAAGCTCGGTGCAAAAGTTACATGTATAAAAAAAATAGTCCTCCCGTCCCGGGAAAAAGTTTACACTTCGAAATCGCGGAGTTTAAAATGAGTGCTAGACAGTAAAATGTGGCGGTTTGAATTCGTTTAGAAGAGTAAAATATTTTGAACATCATATTCCAGAGTTGCAGACGCTCTTATCTGAAAGCAATATTCTCGGTAAGATTCTAAAGTCGTAAGTCATATCTAATCACTGTATATGTAAGATCTTAAAAAGCTCTAATTACATTTATAATATTTCATATTTTCCAGCGCAAAACCAAAAATAAAACCCTTTTCCTTAGCAAATTTTTTTCATGCCATTTTCTGGGTTCTAAACATAGCCTAACACATTGATATGGGGGTGACACACGCTAGACACTACTATGAAAATTTCAACAGTCTATATAAGTTCATATAAATGCTGAAAAAATGATTACCAAGAGGATAAGTAGAATCTTTCAATAGAACGTATGTATCCATGAAAATCAATGCCTATTTTGTCATTAGAAATTAAAAATAAAATACTCACTACGAAACAAGAGAACAAAAAAATCTAGTATAGTCCAGAAGAATGAAGGTTTTGGCAAGTTTCTTGTCATTCCTATGCAAGGCCTGGGCTAGGATTTTGATTTTCAGAACAAAGATTAATGGTTGTCATGAACAATTAACAGTAAAGACTGCAAACAAAGACTTGAGCTAAAGAACTCCAGAGCACACATAAGAGAGTGATATCCTTTCACATGGCATATTCAATACTTAAAATAGTACCCCTAGTTAATGGCAATAAGCAGATATGTAGAGTTACCTGCATCACCCATTGAGCTTCTCCGTTGAAACATTATCCTCATCATCATCAGCACCATCATCATCATCCTCATCATCATCATCACCACCACCATCATCATCTTCCTCCTCTTCGCCCTGATTATCATCGACGTCTTCGTCGCGGTTGTCATCATCATTGTTGGCATCATCCCCGCCACTATCATCTGAATCTCTTAGATTTGCAATTTCTGCCTGGGCCCTCTCAACAATTTGCTTCTTTTGCATCTCCAACTCTCTCTGGAAATCCCACCTCATCTTTTCCAATTCCGTCATTTGTTTCCTCTTTCCATTCTCAATCTNCATCATCATCCTCATCATCATCATCACCACCACCATCATCATCTTCCTCCTCTTCGCCCTGATTATCATCGACGTCTTCGTCGCGGTTGTCATCATCATTGTTGGCATCATCCCCGCCACTATCATCTGAATCTCTTAGATTTGCAATTTCTGCCTGGGCCCTCTCAACAATTTGCTTCTTTTGCATCTCCAACTCTCTCTGGAAATCCCACCTCATCTTTTCCAATTCCGTCATTTGTTTCCTCTTTCCATTCTCAATCTTTTCATATATATCGCCAAACCTTTGAATAGACTCTGCTAACAACTTGGCAGATTCCTCATTTTCCTCCCATCCCGCCTCCTCTCCCACCTCTTCTTTCTCTTCCTCATTTTCCACGTCCGAGCCCACAGGACTATCCCTCATCTCATCCATCACATTAGACCTATCTAAGTACATTCTAGGGTCCATAAAAACATACTCCCCAGAATCAACCCCACAGCTCAACCCACAATGCCCTTTCATCCTCAAATTCATTAATACATCCATTTTCTTGAAAAAAGGCCATTTGCTTGAAAACCCACCGCCCAATTTCTCCATCTTTTCCCTCTCCTTCTTGTACTTCTTCTTCAACACATCCAGCTGATTCCTGCAATCAATCTCACTCTTCTCCACCCCAATCATCTCTGTCACCTTCTCGGCCACATCAACCCAATCCTCACCCCTCAAACTCCTCCTCCCCAGCTCCAAATATCTCTCCCCCCACACATCCAACAGCACGAAACTCTCTTCCTCACTCCACTGCCCCCGCAAACTCCCTCCGCCTCGAAGTGATCCTTGTAGATTTCCCGCAGCACGAGGGGCAAACTCGTAATTTGATACTAAAGATTCCATCTTCCTTTTCTTCTTGCTCCTGAAATCGTACCCATTTTCAGCTCCGTTGAATTCTGGATCATCTCCTCCTTCATCAGACTCCTCAGTATCATCATATTCATATTCGTTCTTGTACCGACTAAAATTGGTGTTTTTAGGAAAAGAACTAGGGTTCCTAATTTGGCGTCTTGATCGAGAAGAAAGGCTGAAGCCAGAACTGGGTTTATGCGAGTACCTTTCCTCATCTTCAGAATCGTCCATTTCTTCAGAAAATCTTCTCCCCGCCAGCTCGAATCTCTTAGTTTAAATATATATATCTATCGACTGGATTGAATCTATGTCCTTTCAATTGAACGAAAACCGCAGAACGTAATCCTTGATTTTCAAGGGATATAGGTTAATCCGAGAAGGGCTTGAAGGAATCAAGAAAATTTAACAAATAATCAGATGAATCAACTTACCTTCGTGCACTGAGCGGGTGAAGCTGCGTTGGAAGAAGAGGGCGGGGGAGTTGGGAACTAGAAGGAAGGCCGCAAAAGTAGCTAATTGGGAAGTAGTGTATTGAAAGAGTGTCATTGAACATTTTTACTCCTTCGGTCCCTAAATATTTACCACACTTATATTCCCGAGTTAAAATATCAAGTTTTTTTAATTCATTTTATTTACATATTGGTATGGAAATAAAAAATAAAATTTACATATCAAAAAACTACATGAAAAATTCTTCGAAATAAGAGGTGTCAAGAATATTTTATTTTATCAAATAACTAATAAAAACGTAGAAATAAACAAAAGTTTCCGCAACTGCTGAAAAAGCTAATGTTGTAAATATTTTGGGACGGAGGGAGTATTTTTTTGCTTGATACAACACAAACTAAACATTAATGCATCAACAAAGTTAATACAAAGTTTACAAAGTTTAAGAAGTTGTTTGTTTCAGTCTCTTAATGGTTTAGATGTCTGGATGGTTCAGACATTTGCCTTTGAATGGTTAACTATTATACAGAGTCTGAATGGTTAAGACCTCTTATCTGAATTGATCAGACATTTGCCTATGAATAGTTAAGCAATATATTAGCTCTTAGTGATTCAGACCTCTTACTGGTTCAGCACTTAATGGTTCAAACTTCTTTCTGGTTCAGTACTTACCTATTTAGAAGTTGTCAAACAGTCCCTAACATTGAATTTATGTGTGGATATTTTCTTTTTGAAAAAGACCATTTTTCTTTATGCTACAAATACACTGAAATCCATAAAATTAATATTAATCTTAGATCTATGAAAGAATTTACCAAAGTTTAGGGAGTAGGAAACTAAAAAAATTGTTGCGTACCCCAAATTTTATGGTAAGAACACTCTAAATAACCCTAATTTTTTAAATATAGGTACCTTAAAATATGAGAGAATTAACTAGGAGTGATATTCCATCCCTCCTCCGTCAAATTTAATGAGATTGTCACTTTCGCTATCATCACCATCCATCGTCATCATCTTTCATCTCATTCGGTCCTCTCCTTTCCATCCCCCACCCTTCCCCTCTTTTTTTTCTTTTTTTCCCACTTCTATTATTATTATTATTTTGCTATTTTCTTCTTCTTTAACTTCTATTATTATTATTATTATTAGTAACTTATTATTATTATTATTAATTTATTATTATTAGTTTTTAATATTAATTTATTATTATTTGACTAAAATTATTTTTATTTGTCTTGGTTTACAATATTTGACTGAAGTTATTTTTATCGTAATGTTTTTTTGAGAATTGGGGTTAATAGTAACATAACATGTAACTTAACTTGAGAGGGAAGGAGTAACACCAAAGCCCTCATAAAAAATTTGTATGCCTCCATTAACTTTTTTCAACCTCCATTTTTTGTAAAAAAGAGGCTAAAACATTTAAATAATTAATTTAAATTTAGTTATAGTAATTTATTTATGTATAATTTATAAATTTAAAATTATGTATTTACTTGGTTTTAAACTAAATTTAGTTATACTTGGTTTTTATCGTTTCATATTATCTTTAAAAAATGGGAGACGCTTCCCCAAATCCCATCTTATTATTGCTTTAAGTTCTCTCAAATTCTGGATTCGCCACTGGTAAGTACTAACTGCACTACGCGGTTACCCCGCGGTTACAAGTTTGGAAAACATTTGATGTCGTAAAATTATAGTAAAACTACTAATTATTTTAATAATAATAATAATAATAAATGATATTTTTCTAAATAACCACGAGCTTTATTTTTCTAAATATATAGAGTAGTAAAAATAGTAATTTTTTAATAATAACAATAGTAATAAATAATAAAAAATAAATAATTATAATAATAGAAGAGGAAGAAAACAATAATTACTAAAATTAATAATAATTAGTGTAATTTTTATTTAAAAAAATAGAGTAGTAAAATCATTAATTATTATTATTAATGGTTAATAATAATAACATAAGAAATAATAATAATAATAATAATAATAGGAGGAGGAGGATGGAAGATGTAGGAAATAATAATAGAGAATAATTCTTTATTGAATTGTCTTGTTGAATACAAAGAATATAAAGAGGGTAAAACAAATAATTAAAATTTTATGCCTACTATAACAAAACTAGGAAAAATTAGGAAAATTATCAAACCCTAAAACATATTCTAACATTACCCCTCAAGTTGAGAATAAGGATCCCCTCAAGTTGAGAATGAGGATCATGGATGAACAACTTGAACAATAAAATTAGGGCTGGAAAAAAACAACTCGATGAATAACTTGGATAAAACTTTGATTTGTTATGCCACGGATGAAGGCGACTCGCCAAGCAAACGAACAATTAAAATTTAATGATGAACTACTCCCACGCGAGACGACTAACAAACGGATAAAATGTTGTCAGACCGAGGTTCGACGGTCGACACCCACAAGCTGACATGTAGTACATACGGCAAGTTGCGACTTAACATACCAAACAAGTCAAACAACCAAATATTGTCATCAAAACGTCCATCAAAACTGGCTGGACAAAATGTTGAACATGAAAATCCTCCTCCGTTGAGTGCAAACAACAGAAAATAAAACTGACAATTTGTTGAAGACTGCTTGTAACACCCTAATCCGTCCAGGTCTGCAGCCCCATTCGGACTAAAGTATTTAACTTGGTAATCGTAAAATTTAAAACTTTTCAAACACACTTTATTAATCTCAATAATATTTTTCATAACATATACAGTACGGAGTATTTAACAATATTGCAGAAGCGAATTTAATATTGACATATCATAAATTATTTCAAAACTTGTCACATCCATCCTGACAATCTCGCCCCATCTGCCGCCAGGATCACATTAATCTTTCTGTTTACCTGCGTGTAGCAAATAAAACACACTAGACGCTCAGCGGTGTAGCTGAGTAAGCATATCTAAAACGTCGAACATCCACATAAATTGAATCTCAATTCATAATCAACCATTTGATATCATGCACACAATATATGGTTCAAACATTCATACTATTTTCAATATTTTATTCCAAGTCATTTGATATTCAATATATCAATAATGCTCATAAATTATTTTTAATCTAAGGCCACATCATTTTACATTCAGTTCTTAGCTATTCCTAGTCTAAGGCAGTAATTCTAACCAGGCCCTTAAACTATAAATAGTTTAATGCAGAACACAAGAATCGATAATCTAGCCTATGAGTCATGTGGATTACGTACCAACCGAACAATGATTTGTCGGGTGGGTGATATTCGGTATGGATCCCGTACGTACATTTTAACCCCGAATTATGAATTGGTCAAGGAGGTATATCTTAGAGTTCTTCTAGATATCCTTAAAAATCATCATCAATATACAAGTGGGTATATCTTAGAGGTCTTCTAAATATCCTTAATAATATACACCGTTTTCATGATCATCATTATATTCATTTTTAATCATGATTTAATCATCAATAATCATTCTAATCATTAGGTTTATCATTCATAATTGGCCACAATAATAATTCATCATAATGATCATTCAACATAACATTTAATAATAATTAATGGCCTAGTCTCGAGTGTTAACACCCGAACTTACCGTCATGCATCACATAATGTTTTATATGCCAAAAAAATCATTTTTATTGTACAAACTCATATTTATATTGTTCATAATTAATTGATATAAAAAATATGATTTTAGAGCATATTTTCAGGATCTGGACTTTAGGAAAATCGATTATTTCATTTAAAATGACCAATTAAATTATAAAAATCGATTTATATAATTAAAATAATCTATTAATTCATAAAAAATCGATTTTTTCTTGAAAAATAATCCATTAAATCAATAAAATCGATTTTTTGCTTGAAAAATAATCCATTAATGAGTAAAAATCAATTTTTGCTTTAGGAATAATCGATTAAATATTAAAAATCGATTTGGTCTTTATGAATAATCGATTTGTTCTTGATAAATGGGTATTGACTTCAAACATCTCGTCTGAATGAAGTTTTAATCGATTTTTAGGAAGATAATAATCGATTTTCGGTCACTGTTCATCGTCTTCTTCCTTCGGTCCATTTTCGGAAATACCAATTTTAGTTACCAAACTTCAATTAAACTATATAGAAATGTTCTCCAAGGTTCATAGATCAATTTAGAATCATCAAAACATATTTTTAACATCAAATTCAAGGTTTATGATTCTTGGTTTTTCAAACACGTCGAACACAAAACTCAACTAAATGACCATTTATGAACGTAAAAACAACCTATATGAACATTCTAATCTTTAGATATATCTACGGGCTTACCTCGAAGGTAAATGAAGGTTTTGAACATTTTCCGGCGAAACTTCCGGCGACCTCACACCAATACGACAGCACCACTGCGTTCTCCTCACTCCCAGCAACAGAATAGAATGAAACTTTGTAAGAAATGGTGAAGAATGGAGGGTGTTATGGTAGCCTTTTATAGGAGAAGGAAGAGGAAGATGACACAGGTTGATGAGCTCTTCTTCGACTGTTTCGGCGGCTGGGTGGAGCTGGCTGCGATTTCTTCTCATTTCAAACGCAAGTCCCTGATTGGGACTAATTCAGTCCCAGTCGGGTAACACTTTTTGGTCCAACTTTTCCCGAATTGAAATCCGATTGAACCGTTGGAATCAGACAATTAAACTCTACATAACGATATAATTTTTATTATTTATTGACAAACTTTATAATAAAAATATTTTTGGGTCCTTCTCAGTAATTAATTAATTATCAAGTAATTAATTCTGATAGGCCTATTTTCGGGGCGTTACAGTGCTTATGTTGGGAACTAAACACACAACACTCACAAATATCTGCGAGAATCAAGAGAGAACGGAACACAAACAATACACAAGAATTTAACATGGTTTGGTTTTCCAGTTTTTCTAATCCATGGCTGAAACAAGAGGAATTTTATTCACTTTTCGTGTCTCCAAATTACAAGTATGTTAGAATGCATCCCACATCGGAAATCCAAGAATAAAATTATCGATATATAAACTCTTGAGTTGAACTAAGTAATCGATTGGATTGAATCTTTTAATGTGGTTCAACCCAAGTGTCTTATTGCCCAATCCAGTTGTCCATACCCATCTTAAATTTTATCATGGTATCGGAGCAGGTTTTGGCCCACCTTGTTTGTAAAGGTGTCCGTCTAGACACTCATTCCTAGCGGCTCGTTAGTCTTTAGCCTAGTTGTCCGTGTGGAGTATGTACCCAGCAGCTAGGGCCGTTTAACACGATTGCTCGTTTGGAAGTCCATACCCAGTGGCTCGTGGTCCTTTAGGTGTTGGTGCTCAAAAAAATTAAGAGAATGAGAGTTCATTTGAAAGTGGTCAACCAGTTAGATTCAAAGGGGACAGGTTGTCCACTTGAGAGGGAGTGTTAGAGTGCATCCCACATCGAAAGTCCAAGAGTAAAATTATCGGTATGTAAACTCTTGAGTTGAACTAAGTAATCGATTGGATTCAATCTTTTAATGTGATTCAATCCAAGTGTTTTATTACTCAATCCAGTTGTCCATACCCATCCTAAATTCTATCAAAGTACAAGATGTGTATAAATAGAAGAAACTTAGGGCTTCAAAACTTGTTTCCCAAGAAACAAGAAACAAACGAGCTAAAGATAAAACGGGCGGCCAACCCAAATCAAGCCCAAAAATATCTAGCCTCTACAAATCCAACATTCTCCCGCTTGGAGGCTTGATAATCATCAAATGTCATCCGCCACGATTGCTTGTACATCTAGCTACATGTAGACCTGGCAATCGGGTCAATCGGTTCCGGTTCTTTTCAGTTCGGGTCTCATTCGGATATATGTTATAATCGGTTCGGGTCGGTTCGGTTCGGGTCAGTTCGGTCCCGAGTTAATTTCGGTTTGACTGGTTTTCAGTTTCGGTTCGGGTTTGTATCGGTTCGAGTTTATATCGATTCGGGTTTGTATCGATTTAGGTTTATATTAGTTCAAATATATATCAAATATTTACTAATAAATCAATAATATCACATAATAAATTGAATCAATTTATGATATACTCCGTAGTTATTTTATTATTTAACACGGACGTACATAAAATTTAATCAATTTCGGGTCCAATCGGTTCTGGGTTTAATCGGGTTCGGGCTTAATCGGATTCGGATCTGAATCGGGTCTGAATACATTCGGTTCGGATCGGGTCATTTCGGGTGTTCGGGTCTATTTCGGTTCTTCAATTTTCGGGTCAAATCAGGTTTGGTTCCGGGTTATTCGGTTCGGGTTATCGGGTCCGGGTCGGTTTTGCCAGGTCTAGCTACATGTCACCCTTTTGAAACCATACCATCCAACCTTAGGGAGTATTATTCACTAATAATTATGGCTGATGGGGGAAGGGGGTTGACAATAGGGTGGAATATAGTCAAAACACCCAACACATAGAGTTATATCCATCCATCATTTCTCCACTAACTCTTAATCAGTGATGGGCATAAAGATAGATAGAGATTGATTGGGATTGAGATGAAAAATTAGTGATGGGCATAAAGATAGATAGAGATTGATTGGGATTGAGATGAAAAAATAAGAGATTGATGTGGTCCACAAAATACATTTGAGTTAGAGCACTGGTAATGGTCATGAAGCCCCGGGGCTTCAAACCGGGGCTTCAAACCTTCTCTCTCTGCCACGTCAGCTTTAACTTACACCCAAAATTTACTGGAAATGGTTTTGAAGCCCCGGGGCTTCAAACTGGGCTTCAAACATTCATTTTTACATTTTTAAATATACATTTTCTAAAATTAAATTAATAAAATGTAATTAATTTATTATTTAATTAAATTGAAACATGAATAATAAAAAAATACATTAATTAAATAAAAAAAGCGACAATAATTTAAATAAATATACATTAATAAAAAAGACTAAGGTAAATTATATTTCTCCTTGATCTCTCTCATTCTTTGCTCGTAGATCATTCGTCCAAACTCCGACAACGTCGCGGGGTCGGTTTGCATGACTTTCATCTCGGCCTCCTGCTCCTTTAGCTTCAACTCCTTCTCCTTTAGCTTCAACCTCTCTTGTTCTTGGAGATTGAACGCTCAAAGTTGTCCAATCATTGCCCGGCCGATTTCGTCGCGGGGAGAAGCGGAAACAGAGGCGGACCCTCCCGAACTAGAGGCAATGGATTTTGCCTTCTTTCTTCCGATCGGTCGTGGAATGGGGTCCTCGTCATCGGAATCCACAACGTTGAAGGGAGGGATTTGATCGGTAGAACCGATAGTCTCGTCGACCTCAACCTCGGCATCGACGGTGGATCTTTTCCGGAATGATCCGCCGTCGGGATTGTTGAGTTGTTGCCACTTCGGGGAACGACTCAAAATCCTCCAAAGATCGATGGGCACCTTACCTTGGTGCCCGTCGTCTTGATACCGAGTCGTGGCAAGCCGGAGAACATCGGCGTCGTTCGTACCGCTCCTCCGGGACCGGGAGCATTCCTCGTAAACTCCGATAAACTTTCGGACTTTACGGTTGATGTGGCTCCATTTGGAAGTGAGTTGGTCCCGGGTTCGGTAGGAGCCGTCCTTGTTCATCTCCGTGAAGAACTTCTCCTCGATACGATCCCACATCGCATCCTTCGTTTGCTCCGAACCTTTAAAAATGTATTACACAATTTTTTTAGACACCATTAAATATAATATATATAAATAAAAACATAAATATATTAGAAAAAATAAATTTTTTACCAATGATAGGATGCTCGGAGACGTCAACCCAAGCCGACGCCAATATGCACTCCTCCTCTGGCGTCCACTTTTGGATTGACTGTGCCGCCTCGGTCATCGTGCTTTTGGCTTTGTGGCTTTTACGGCGTGTACTTTTTTTCGACCCGGACGGTTCCGGTTGAGTCTCCGGAACCGAATTTCGGTCGACGTACCCCGATTGTTGCGTCTCGTAGATCGGCGGTCGATCACCCCACTGTTCGTAGAACCACATCGCGGCGTCGCTCGGCGGGAGATCGTCGGGAAAGAAGCCGGAGCCGGAAGGATTCAAATTGAAAATTGGGAGGGGGGTTTGAATTTTGAAATTTAAAAATTGGAAATAAGGAGAGATTGAAGATGGAGATGGTGTGAGATATTGGGAAGGGGGGGTTTGAATTTATAATAAAAAAAAAATTTGAATTGGGGGGTGCAACGGCTCAAAGAGCCGTTAGGGGGGAGGGGGAGATGAATGACGCTGCGTCATTCGTTTGACGCACGCCAAGTAACGCCCGGGTAACGCCGCCGGGGGGCGGTGTTTAGCGCCCCCGGGGCGTGAAAACCGGCATAACGCCGGTCGGCGTTACGGGTATACCCACTGCCCTTAAATTAGCGAGGTTAACTCAAATGTATATCAAGTAGATTATCATAGTTGAATTAACGGGATTAACTCAAATGTATCTCAAGTAGGTTAACATAAGCAACTCGTATGCTGGTTTTTTTGTGTCAATTTATATACTCTTTCTGTTCTAAAAAGATTTACACTCTTTACTATTCAAAAATTATGAAAATTTTTATTTATTTGTGTGTTTTAAAGGATTATTTGATAAAATAAAATATTCTTATCACCCCTTAATTTGTAGAACTTTTGACGTATTTTTAAGTATGTAAATTTTATTTTTAATTTTTATACTAATCTTTAAATAAGAAGAAAGAAAATAAAGAACATAGAAAATAAAAAAATATTGTTTAATTTGGATGACAAAAAATGTTCACAAAAAGTGCGAAGTAAATAACAAAAAAAGAATGATATCTTGTCACATATTTTCCCCACCATTTTCTTTATCTTCAATCCTTTTTTTTCATCTTTCCAAACGAGAGAAAAAAATCTCAATTTCGTGTGTTCTCCTATCCGAATATCTTTCATTCTTTCACTCTATTTTCTCTTTAACCAGATGCAAGCAAATGGTCAAAGTGTCAAACTATTGTATTCGAAATTGAAACGAGAATTTTTTTCGGAGAGAGTGGGTAAATATTTATCACAACAGTATGAAAATGCATAAGAGCATGTTCTTTAAGACTTGAACTCTTAATATCCAGTTTCTTTCAGTTCTTTCCAGTTTCTTCTCGTTCGTTCCAGTTTCTTTCAGTTTATTCCCGTTCCTTCCAGTTTCTTTCAAGTATTCTCATTTTCTTCAAACTCTTTCTACTCCTCAACCAATTGTTCTAAAAACCATATATTTTAATATGATTATTATTATGAGACCGGTTCAAATGACATTGAGAACCANGGTGCAATTGAAGGGGGTGGGGGGCCGCGTTCGGGTCGGGGCGTGGTGGGGGGTTTACCGGGGGGTTAGGGGGGGTAGGAATCGTCAATTTTACGAACGGGGCACCGGAGCACCCCCGGTCATCCCATGACATTGGTTCTCAATGTCATTTGAACCAAGGTGTATTATTATTATTATTATTATTATTATTATTATTATTATTATTATTATTATTATTATTACTACTACTACTACTACTACTATTACAACTCTTATGTTCATTATAGTTTATAAATTATTTTTTTCATCTCACTATTTTTACGATTCACACTCTTTATTTTTTTCTTCAACTTTTTAGAGTAAATTTCATAATTGGTCCTTTATAACAGGGGGGTTTCCATATTTAGTCCTCTACTATCAAATATTACTCCCGTAGTCCTTTTTTTAAGGGTATCTTTCCACAAATGGTCCTTTTTTTGATCTTCTTCCGTGTTGATGTTAATTTAAAGGCTAAAAATATATTTGACGTTAACATTATGTCTAGTGACGTGTTCTGATATTGGTTAAACAGATAACACAAAACTAATGACTATGATTGTGGGCTAGGATTCTGACGAAAGATCACATTTGTAGACTATAGTTGTCGTAAAAAGCGACTGTAATTCACAAATGACGCAAACGGAACAGCCTTTGGAATTGTGTATGACATAAAAGATATATTATCATTGTGAAATTACAATTTTAGCCCTTAAATTAACACCAACATGATAGAAGATCAAAAAAGGACTATTTGTGGAAAGGTACCCTTAAAAAAAGGACCACTTGGGTAATATTTGATAATAGAGGACTAAACAGGGAAACCCCCCTGTTATAAAGGACCAATTATAGAATTTACTCAACTTTTTAATATGAATAAGAAATTTTTTTGTATATTAGTCTACATGATAAAACAGGAAAATATCAATATGTTAAATTATATTAACAAAATTATGAATAAAATAGTGAAATTGAATGTTTTATTAATCTAACTTTATATAAGATCTCTCACATTTCTCTTTATTACTTAAAATTTGCTCATTTTGCTAATTTTTATAAAAAAATTGTAAGTCAAAATAGTTTAGAGAAAAAGACTAAAATAGGAGTAAAACATAAAAAAAATGTAAAAAAAAAGTTCTATGCCTTTATTTCAAAAATAGGACTTCAATGAAAATAAAATGTCAATCATGAAAGAAAAAATAAGTTTGATTACATTATGTGACATGTCTGATATTTAAAACAAAATATTGTAATATATAAAGTATAATTACAAATATATTATTTATAATAAATACCACATAAATAAATTGAGGTGCAATATAACCACAAAGACTTTTTTAAATTTAATATTTTATATTTATGCTAACTTTATATTATAATTATTTTTTTGCAAAAGTAGTTTTTTGTATTTAAAAAATAATAATACTTTTTTTGTATAATAATAATAATAATAATTTATAACAACAAGAATTTAAAATAAATTTTCCTAATGTTTTTTTTAGGTTTTCCAATTTTTTGAAGTTTTTTCCAGTTTCTTCTAGTTGTTTCCAGTTTCTTCCAATTCCTTCCAGTTTTTTCCAGTTTCTTTCAGTTCTTCTCGTTCCTTCCAGTTTCTTCCAATTTTTTCCAGTTTCTTCTAATTCCTTCCAGTTTTTTTCAATTTCTTCCAACATCCAGCTTTTTTTTCCCAGTCCTAAAGAATAGGCTCTATGTAGCTATTAAATAATGTTGATGAGTTCTTAACTGGATCTTAGGTACACTAAAAACTTACCAAAAAATTATACACTGGGTATTAAATAAAGAGTCAATGGATCACGTAAGTGCATGGGTGAGTAATTTTGTTAAACTTGAATAGAGTCGACTTCTTTAAAGGGGAACTCCTCAACCAGATTAAGATTTGCATTTAGTATTTCTTAATTACTACTAGCTACCCAGCAGTACTTTAACTTATGAGTAGTTGGTAAACTCAACTTAATTACATGTAACGGAAAGACCACTTCGCCTAATTGCACTATAAAACAAGAACCAGCACCATATAGTTTCAGAAACATATGGTGCATGTGAAGATGGTAAAGAAAACCATTCGTTTGTTATCCATATTCTTCGTTCTCTTGGCTGAGCTCGGTTATGGTTTCGTTACGAAACCAGACTGTTTTGGGAAGATTGGGTTTTTACATGGAGGCACCGGCAGTATAGGTGGTGGCATTGGCGACGGTGCACCTACACCTGCACCCACACCCGCACCTGCTGAAGGCGGAGCACCACCCATTGCGGACGTAATACCAGGTTTTGATAATATACCCATACCTGGTATAGGGGGTGGACGTCTTTTCCGAGGTGGCGGTATTGGTGGAGGTGGAGGGGGAATTGGTGCTAGAGTTTCTGGAGGGCAAATTGGTAAAGCGGACATTGCGGGTGGAAGATCCAACGGCGAGTTTAGCAAGGGGACGGCAGCATTGGAGATGGAGGAAAAAAAGGGTTAGCTCAGTGTAATAGTAGGAAGTGATGGTCCTACCAAATGTAAGAGAAATTGATATGTAAAATACTCTATTGAAACTTGAAAGCATATCTATATTTGGTTGGTAAATTTTCTATGTTTTGGAAATCTCAAGTGTGGGGTTTGGGTAATATCGGACTAAAAACAAAGTTCGCCATGGCATATCTCTAGTGTGGCAAGTACTATAAAACTGAAAATCGAAAAAAACTAAAAAGAAAATCACTAAATATAAAAACAATTTGACTCTAATTTTACTAGATGAATGTTTGATTGGTCGGTCAAGAAACCGTTATTATATGCAAAGACTAATTGCAGCTGAAATGCAAGTGCTAGAGAAACGACTGAAAACTAGTCGAACTATTTCAGTATCAATCACCACAATTACTCGGTAACAAACACATATTTGTAAAGGGAAAATAAGTGTCTCACCTCTAAGTATGAAAAACACGGCCAGAAACGGTTTTCTCAAGCTTGCTCCTCAACTAGCTTTTATTGTGAAGGCAAATAGACCCATGCATCAGCTAGCTGATTATACGAACACAAGATTCAAGAAAACATCTTTCGCTGCAATTATCAGGAACAATCTCAGAGATATCTCCATGAAAGTTCTGGTCATTTCGTGGTGGATGTAGTCTGCAAAGATCTCTTCAATACCCGCATGCATGTGCCAAAAGATGGAGAGATTTCCCGCGAACAAGGAATAGGCATTGGGGTATATCATAACAAGTGGGGCAACTGCAGTAGCTTTTAGCAGCTGCTCTCTCTTTGTCTTTGGGCCTTCCTTCCTCAATCCACTGTCTCGTACCACCCTGTACATAGATCATGCCAAGCAATGATTAGGGAGAAATGGGAATTAATCAAACCACATTTACGGCAAGTCGGTTTCTAATTTTGTTCACGAGAAACTCGATGGAATTCACATGTCCCTTCAATTTACAAAAAATTCAGTAATTAAGACCAGTCTAATGCTCCTTTTGGTATTGCATAAATTGACAAAAAAAAAAACTAGACTACCAAAATATTTACTAAGCATTTCACAACAGGTGTAGGAGGATCTAAACAAAAAGTTAGGGTGAGGAAAGAAAATTATACTCCATAGCTTATACGAATATCTTTGAAAAGAAAACCAGCAACAGACTTGTTATCAAAGAATAAATTAGATTTCTTTGTAAATTGGACATTTCTATAGCATGGCTATCTAATCAAACCCTGACTTAAGACACTATTTTTCAGCCATTGGAATGAAAACATAACACAACTTCAATGGGTAATATCACCAACATAAGACTGACCAGAATCATACATGAAAGGCATCAATATCCTCCAAGGCTCCAACCCACAAGAAAATCATCAGGTCAAGTAATGGCCAGAGAGATTTAAAAAAGAAGAAAAAGAGCACTATCAATTCATCATGTTTGTCTAGTTTTTCTTGCTTGGGAAAAGGAGGGGAGCAAAATGTTTGTAACATTTTGAACTAAAATACAATTTTTGGGGGAATTTTCGTATTAGGTTAGAATATAGCATCTAGATAGACACTCCCTCTGTCTCTCAAAAAAGATATGACAACGGTTTACAATGTTTGATTGAAATTATTTTCCATTCGATTTATTTAATGATTGGTGTAGAAAGAAATATAAAAATTTACATATTTAAATATTACATCAAAAGCTGAACAAAACAAGAATAGAAATGACTATTATTTTATAAATCATGTCACAAAAATAGGCAAATAAAGATGATAAATTTTGACCATGTGAAAAGTGACTAAAAGTTTTTTTAAGGGACACAGGCAGAATATGATACTAACTGGCTTCTGCACATAATGCATGCGTACAAGGCCTCTGTGATAGGGATGAAGCAGTTGGAACTTTTCTTTTGTATAGTATGTGATCTATTTCTCTCAGATATGTTCTGCTCCAATTATGTGATCTCTATGCATTCTTCTCCCATCTCAAGCTAATTCATTTTTTATTATAAAGAAAGTAAGGTTCAGAATTGTAACTGGAAAGATAGATGCCAAAGCAATTTTGGCATTTGTGGAAAAGTGTAGAATTTCCTCTACAATCTACACTCAATAACGGGTTAGGGAGAGTGCAATTAAATAGTGTAAACTATCAAAGAAGAATCTACTTTTATTGTCTTAAGGTGGGTGAATTTTTCATGCAATTAAGATTAACTTGACTCCTTTCAAAGATGATAGAGGTGTGCTTCTAGCCTTCTAGACAAATCAAGGTTCAAGCATGATTAGCCGAATGGCAGTGTTGTCTGACATTGATGGTAACTTAGTACTTTAACAGGTATAGATTGTAGAGGGCTATGTAGCATTCATACTGACATGGACTCAGGAGATGCCACAACAAAGATTCAGAAGACACTAGATTCTAATTATAGTAATTGTACAACAAGGACATTCCATATTTAAAATTAAAAGATGTCATTGTATCATATAAGGCTTATATACCGTAAAAAAAGGCTTATATTGAACAAAGAACATATGCATAAGTAAACTTTATAATTTATAAGGTTTATTTATGCATATGTTCTTTGTTCAATATTCAATTTTGCTAGAAGACAATTATACAGGGACTAAAAGAATAATGCTCCATAACACACAAATACACCCTTTGGATGCTCTAAAGTTATTGCATTTGTTGCAGGTGTTTGATGAAAGTTTGGCTGAGAGTTTTGGGCTTTGGGCCCAAGAGACAAGAGTGCTTGTGTTTGTTGTAAGGTTCCTACAGGGATTTTCACTGTGTTTTCCTTCAGCTTTGTGGTTTTGATTAAAAAATGACAGTAATGTCAAGTAATAACTATATGTATAAACAAACTTCCAAAGCTCCAGTTATATAACCATTTAAAAAGTCAACATAACCACTAATCAAGTTAAGAACCAAGTTCAGCAGTGCAAATAGTAGATTATGCTTAAAAAAGTGAAACTACAATCAACTTTATCATTGAATGCTTTGAATATACACCAACTAACCTTTTTATGGCATCCCCTGTAGTAGCAGCAGTTGCATAACTAGCTGCTCTGTGAAGCAGAACCTGGGAATCATTGGTCACACAAATAAACAAGACTGGTGCATTAAGCATTACCAGAAACCAAATATTGAATTAATTCCATTCAGTTCCGAATATTAAAGGAAGGTCAAATGGAACATGACTTGCTCAGGCTACACAATATAACTCTTCGAGACCTTTAACATCATTGGTAAATGTCATGAAAACTCACTTGTCGCAATTTCTCCAATAAGGCAATTTCTATGAGAATATTTTCTATNCCCCCCCCCCGCTAGTGAGAAGAAGCTGTATTGTGTTCTTATTTTTGTCTGGCTGTCGTTTACCACTGACCAATAGAGTGTGTCAGTTTCACAGAAAAATGTCTCAGGCATTGTTGATCGGGTAAGTGTGCAAATAATTTATCAAAAGTCCCGGTTATGCATCAGTTAGCTCTATTTGTCTTTATTTACAGTATTACAAATCTTATTTACAACATATAGTATAGTTTTCTATCCACTTTGTTCACAGCCTTACTCAAGTGGTGGGGTGGGGAATAAAGTTCTTGACTTGATGAAAATGTTCTGCCATCAAATGAAGAGCAAGAAATGCAGTAGTAATAAGCTACCGAGGAACACTATGATTGGAGACATTATGTTGGCTCCAAAAGCCAAGTTATATCTCAAAGAGTGTCAAAACTACTCAAAAAGATTATCATCACCCATGATGGCCAAAAAGTTTATCATTTACATAAAATACCATAAAATACCAAGTCGTGTGAAGCCTTCAAAAATAACAGTTCCTTCTAGTGATAAGATTAATTGCTCAATATGCTAATTCTCTTTTTATAAGAAATATGAGAACGTACACATGCACATTATTCACCACACCCCAACTGAATCCCTAATAAATCCCAATCACAAAAAAGAGCTTGAACCATAAGAGAGACATAGTACTTCTTAAGTAGCAGCAATCATATTGGTTATTTAATAACAACTCTGTTAACATCAGTAACATCAACGAGGCACAAGGATGATAAAATTTATAAATAAATATATAAAGCAAGATAAAACATTAAAAGAAACTTTGACTGGCATTTCCTATTCCTTCATGAGGGCAGTGCAGTTAAAGAACCTAGTGAGATTCAAATAACAGAATGTAACATTAGACAACAAGCCTCAAGGAATACCACGCCACAGCTAACTTTTCAATCAATCAGTAATTACCTCATGAATGCCTCCTGCCAGCAACCACACCCACATCCACCACAAAAGGAACACAAAGAGATTTCATCAGTAACAACTAACATCACACTAATCAAAATCATCACAGAAAACAATAAAAAGTAAAATTGCTACCTTGGATCCGAATGGAGTTCGCAGCTCTAACCTGCACATAGCAATCAGCAAGCAGGAACAACAATCAGTAACCCTAAAATAACCACACAACCATTCAATAACAGTGTAGGGTACTCAAATTTAAAAGTATCAACTAAGCGTCATCCTAATAACAGGAGGGGGATGAACCCTCTCACATGCAAATTGCCCAAAACCTAATAACGTCGATTATGAGTAAAAAATATGACAAATCAAAAGTGAGGATGATCCTCTTCCCATCATGTAAGAAATGACTGCCAGACAAAAAAAACAGAATCGGAGAAAAACGGCAATTCTTACGTCAGATCCGGGGAGAGTGATTCCGCGGCTTTGATTGGCGGACCACGGAGCGCGGAGCAAGCTGTGGAGAGCGGAGGAAGGCCAGGATCCTCCGTTTCCGACGGCGGAGTGGACCGGTGGAGAAGGTGGCGGATTGGAGGAAGAGGAGGTGGTGGTGATTGACGAAGATGCGTGAGGAACGAGGTTGGATGAGATTCCGAAGAGAGGCTTGGAGGTGGAGAGCCTCTTGCTCACCTTCAACGACAGAGATTGCATCTTTTTGGTGGTGTTCACTGGTTGGATCCTCGCGGCTTGCTGGCTATGGAATTGGAGGCAATGAGCGGAAATACGGTGTCCGCCTGTGCGGTTGCCCGGGTGTGTGCAATTACGCACAAGTCTAAAATCGACGGAGAGGGGCTCCAATTTTGTAGAGATGGGGTTTCATTTTCTAGAAGAGAACTTGTAAACTCATACCAATAAAAAATGAAAACAATTAATACTAGTTTGTAAAATTGATATTTCTTATCTCTCTGAATCTTCCTAAATCTTCCACTCCATCTTGACCATTAGTCTCCCCCGCCCGCACCTCCATGAATTGCCGATTTGAGAGGCCTCAAATCGGCAATCTAGGGGCTTACGGTGGAGGTGCAGGAGTGGGGGTAGGGTGGGGGGTTTAGGGGGTGAGTTAAGGGGGTAGGAAGCGTCAATTTTACGAACGGAGCACCGGAGGTGTCCCAAAAACCCAGTGGCACCGGAGTGGCACCGTTTTCCAGTGTCACTAGAACCTGACCGTTAAAAAATATGTTTCAAATGTCGAGTGACATTGTTTAAGGCCAGTTCTTAAAAAAATAGTAGAGATATCAAAATGATGTCGGCCTAGTAACTTATAATCAAATTGAAGTGAGATGTTCATATTCCGAGGGACCAAATGGTGTAGTGTGCCAAGCCCTTCATATACCCCACAACCTAACTTTTGAAATGATCCACCTCCTCTGAAATTCTTTCGCACTTCGCTCTTTTCATTTTTTTCTACTATTGTTGCCTTTGCTTGTTTGCATTATATCTTCGAAGGCCTTTAATTACCACCACACGTGCATTTACTATGGAGAGCATTGACACAAACCACAATGTCCATTAAAGGAGAAAAAGAAACCATAGCCAAAGAAAAAAGGAGAAGCCTAAAAATGGTAATAAGGTGCATGCTTGGAAAATCAATTTTCCTCCGCAAATTTTGCTTGGAAATTTGACAAAGCGGCTTAGGAGTGTATTGTTAGATGAAACTCCATCCTAAGAAGTAAGCCAACGTTTGGAGAATAACATTTACTCCTAGCGCCTCTGAAATTGAGGTACATTTACTGAACTCTAAAAATATATTTAAAAATGTAATGTCATTTCAATGTAGCCGAAAAAGGTATTTTGTAGGGTCTTTATGTAAAGTATGTATTAGTGTTTGGTTTTCTTATTCGAAGGTGAAAAAGTTCGATTACATTTGAATAAGGTCGAAGACATTCGAATTTAGATAGTTATAGTGCTAGTAATTTAAGAGTATGTGTATTTATTCAAGTTTCTACTGTTGAAATGCCATTATTCTCATCTAGAGTTTACCTTGTATAAAGTTAACTCTGAAATCTTTTATTGGGGAATTCTAGAAGACAATAATGGATGAACTAGTTGTTCATCCAGAAGTCCTGACTTTATTTAGGAAGAAAAAATGTAGAATTTATTCATCGCTGTATATTTTTGTAGCAACTTCTTGGGAGGGAAGCCACACTCAAAAGGAAAGGAGATATGTGGTTTGTGATTGATAGAGTTCATGTTAGAAACTCCTTGATGGAGTTTCGCCTCATCATCAGCCTAAAATGATCTCACTTAAACTATGGCTTCAAACCATTATACGATACAACCTCTACGTGAGATGTCATTCTCCCACTTCCCTTCAGTACTAAAGGACAATAAAATCTCTTAGGGGTAGATTCATGACATTTGTGCATCACTTCCAGACTCTGTGTGAGCTTCTGGTCAATGAGGATGTTAAGAAGAAGGATTCTCAACCGATGGAGACTTTGAAAATTGTCACCCTTTTCTTTGTTGTTGTGGTACTCTTAGCTCCAGACGATTGTTAAAAGTGTAAAACTCCAACATGCATAATCCGAATAGGAGAGTTAGCGAGCCGAGTTGCTACCAAATAGGTATCCAAACAATACAATTTTACAAACAATTCAAAACATTTAATTAAAAAACATTATTTAAACATCATTCACCATTGAAGTATTCAAAACATCTGCAGAAGCTTAAGTAGTAATTCCCAAACACATAACTTGGGTTTATGCTCGAAAAAGTAATTAGTTACTAAAACATAACCAACATTTCAAAATCGTCAAAATACACTTGCACATCTCCTCGAATTTGACAAAGATATATTATGATCAATGAAGAGTTCCTACGGTTGGTGATGGCGAACATGGTGAGGAGGTAGCGGCAACGAGCTGCTATGTTTCTTTTTTCCTTCCTTCCCTCTTTCTTTTCCGTTGCCGTGATCGACGAAAAAGAGAGACGAGAGATGTGAACGAGAGAGATCAGTCATAAGGCGCAGGCTTGCGCAAGTCGTAAGTAAGCAGTGTATTTATATGTGTAGGATTTTGTGCTTCGTAATTAATTAACGTACCTTGATAAAAATAACTTTTCAATCCAACTTACTTCGAATTGAGATCCAATGACACCGTTGGACTCAACTCGTCTGTATTTATACAACGATATACTTTTCACAATTAATTGACAAATATTTAGGCCTTACTCTTTTGAGTTGGAATTTCAGAGTTGGAAACTGGAAGGAGTTGGGGAAAAAACTTGAAAGAGTTGGAAAATGCTGTAAGAATTGAAGTATTGAAAAATTACTAAATTAAATGATCATCCAAATAAATATGTAAGAAAACTCTAATGTTAGATAATAAAAAAATTTATCATCGTATGTGTTTGAGTTGATATGTTATAAATTTAGATATAATGTTATTTTATATTAATCGTATATAAATACCTTTTTAAGTCGTGGTTGGAAGATATTGGAAGAAGTTAGAAGGAGTTGTAAGAAACTGGAAGCAATTGGAAGAAGTTGGAAGTTAATTTTTTCATCCCAAAAGAACAGAGCCTATCGGATGCCGTCTAAATAATTAACTAATTATGAAAAACCATGTTTTCGGATGTTACAAGATAACAAGAAGTCTTTTATACTAGATTGGGTACTTGAGTTGATTGGCGAGTGAAGATTTGTCAGTAAGTTCTTATAGGGAACATATGCATTTATTGAGTCTTAGAGTCACTGAAAGAATGACATGGTCTCTAAGACCCAAACAATATTAAATTGTGGTTCGTCAACCACGATATCACACCATTTTTGGGCTTCTTATTAAGTATTGAGATATGTGGTTGCCAAGGATCATAATATATTTCTTATTTTTAATGTAATACTAATTAAAATTTTTGAACATACGACATGAAAAGATCTCCTTGTTGGAGAGTTGAGTAGAGATTGCAACTGGGTTTGTAATGAGGAGCTAGAAAACTTACCCAACATAGCTGAAAATCTACCTATGAAAGGTAATTTCAAACAAGAAAAAAATAAGCCACGAAAAGGTTGAAAGTTACACGAGAGATCTCCAAATATATCTATTCGTTAAATATAACCTTCAAATTTAAATTTAATGGTCAAAACAAGTGAGCACTGATCAAAGTTTTTGGAAATTAATTATTGGATGTTTTTTCTGTCGTACGTACACTGTGCAGAGCATCATCTGTCTTAACATGTCTTAGGCTACGCATAATGGTTTAGAAACTTCCACCCCATAGACACCACAACTCACACTGAGTAAGAAATATTTGTAACTTCCTTAAGTGGTCATTGGGGGTGTTCACATTCGGGAGATTAAGAAGACGACTAAGAAGAAAGAGAACAAAGAGTTGAACCCTAATAATTTTGAATTGCAATTCACCACCCCATTTCCTCTCCTCTTGCATCCCAGATATGTAAACTCGCTCCTTTGAGATGTTTTAATCCAACATCTCTTCTGTTCATATATCTAATAACCTTCCCCCACTATTTCTTCATTCTTTATCCAGTTTATTATAGGACCTTTTCGATCAACTTGAAAAATAATGTATTCAAAATTTTTGATATACTATCGAAGAAACTAGATTCCATTGTCTAGTAAAAAAATCATAAGTTGGAAGAACTCGACCAAGCTTTATCATAACACCTTAGTATGTAAATAAGTGTCTTATATGTGTTGCGTGAAACCTCATATTATGTTTTTAATGTCCATGTCCATTTTTAAAGGACTCACGTGTGATTAAGGTTGAAGCTAAAGATGATACCAGTTTGAACTCAATAATGATACACTTAAATTGGAAGATGAAAAAAAGTTGGAAGTTAGGTAAAATTTTTAAAAAATGAATCAAAGAGACGTCGGAGTGTATTCCAACAAACATTGTAATCTAGTCAAATAAAATTCACATACTTTCTTTTTAATAAAGGAGACTGATATTTTTGTATATCAATTTATCCTAAATCAATTGTTGCTTGATGGAAACCGCTTTTTTGGGGCGTCGACCCGATGAAATCGGTACCGGGTCGGCACCACACCGAATAGCGAAATCCGGAAATTAAGTAAATAAATAAAGCGGAGAGAAAGTATTTATACGTGGAAACCCAAATCGGGAGAAAACCACGGGCCTTTTTAGGCGGTGCCATGCCAAAGGGGGAGAAACTTTTATTAACCTCGGGGGAGTTTACATATACATCATTGTAGGAACTTGGAGTCATCAATGGAGCTCCAAGCTAAAAGAAGAAGAAGAATGAAGAATATAGTAGTAGGAACTTGTAGGAATCTAGCCTTGGCCTCCCCCTTTCCGTCCTGCGTAGCCTTGTATTTAAAGGGGAGTACATGCATGCATCCCCAACAATGCCATGAGGTGGCCATGTCACCTCCACGTGTACATGTTTTGTATATGGGCTCCACAGAATATTTTTATATCACCTCAAATATATTCTTCTGTCCATATACCTCTGGTTCTGTCTTGAATAATTTATCTGATTTATATCTTGGGCCATATAAAATTGGGTTTTTTTGCACTGTTCAAATAATATTGGATTAGGAAAAATCCCTAATCCATCACATGCCCCCCTAGTTTTGAGTCTGTCTAGGGGAACGAGACAGATTCAAAATTATATGACTCGGTGGGTTGCCTCATGGGATAAAACTTTTCTTGGAACCTCGACAAGAGGACTTTCTTTTTTGGAGGGCCTCGTTACCTCGTGGGTAAGGATTTAACTTAGTGTCTCTCGAAAGAGGACTTTTCTCGGGGATTTGGTGCCTCTTGGAAGAGGACTTTTCTCAGGGATTTGAGCCTCTTTAGAAGAGGGCCTTCTCGGGACTTTGTGCATATTTGGAAGAGGACTTTCTCGGGTCTGTGTCTCTTTAGAAGAGGACCTTCTTGGGACTTTGTGCCTCTTTGGAAGAGGACCTTCTCGGGACTTTGTGCCTCTTTGGAAGAGGACCTTCTCGGGACTTTGTGCCTCTTTGGAAGA